GTTACTAATGACTAGTGAAAGATCCCGATGGATAATGATAGTTTCAGCTTTGAAAGCCCAAATGATGATTGACCATGGCTACGAGGCCTTCTTGTCTCACGTGGTCGACACCCGAATCTCAGTCCCTACAGTCAAGGATATTTGAACAGTGTGAGATTTTCCAGATGTGTTTCTAGAAGAATTGTCAAGTTTACCACCCGAGCGGGAGTTAGAGTTTGGCATTGAAGTAATATCAGGTTCAGTTCTGGTGTCTATTTCTCCCTATCGTATGACACCAATTAAAATAAAGGAATTAAAGGCTTTGATTTAAGAGTTGCTAGAAAAGGGTTTCATTCAACCAAACATATTTTCTTGGGGAGTTTTAGTCTTGTTCGTTAAAAAGAATGATGGGTCAATGAGGCTATATATCGACTACATGCAGATGAATAAGTTAACCATTAAGATCTGCTACCCGCTCCCTAGGATAGACAGCCTCTTCGACCAGCTGAAAGGGGCATGCATCTTTTCCAAGATTGATTTATGGTCAGGTTACTATCAGTTGAAAGTCAAGGATGAAGATGTGGCAAAGATATCTTTCAGAACAAGGTACGATCATTATGAGTTCTTACTGATGCCATTTGGACTCGCCAACGCTCCAAAGGCATTTATGAACATAATGAATCGAGTCTTCCACCCATACTTAGATCAGTTTATGGTGGTATTTATAGATGGCATCCTAGTGTACTTCTAATCAGAGGACAAGCATGATCAGCATCTCTGAATTGTTCTCTAGACATTTAGAGATAGACAGTTGTATCCCAAGTTCGGGAAATATGAATTTTGGCTATCAGAGGTTTCCTTCTTGGGTCATGTCATATCGGCAGAAGGCATCAGAGTAGACCCCAAAAAATTTGACCCATAGTAGAGTAGGAGCCACCGAAGAATGTATTACAAGTATGTAGTTTCCTCTGGTTAACCGGGTACTATTGTCAATTTAGTCAAGGCTTCTTGATGATAACAGCCCCGTTAACCAAACTGCTTCATAAAGAAGTTTCCTTCATTTGGAATTATAAGCGAAATGAGAGCTTTGAATATTTGAAGTTCATCTTGACCTAAGCCCTAGTGTTGACCCAACCAGAGTCGGGTAAAGACTTCACAATTTACAGTGATACTTCATTTAATGGACTTGGATGTATTCTAATGCAGAAGGGTGAAGTTGTAGCTTACGCGTCCCATCGGCTTTAGCCTTATGAGCATAATTACGCTACTCATGACATGGAGATAGCAATAGTATTGTTTGCTTTGAACATTTGGTGACACTATCTTTTCAGTGAGAACTATCATATCTTCACTGATCACAAGTGCCTCAAGTATCTTCTCACTCAGAAGAAGTTGAACCTCTGATAGCACAGATGGGTTGAGTTAATTAAAGATTATGACTTTGTGATAGATTATCATCCGGGAAAGACGAATGTGGTGGTAGACGCTTTGAGAAATAAATCACTGACCGAGTTACGAGCCCTTCTAGCACGTTTGAGTTTTTCAGGGATAGTGGATTGTTAATTGATTTACGAGTTGAACCAGAACTGATATATGAAACCGAGAAACTGTAGAGTTCGGATGATTGATTGAGAAATTGGATTGAATAGGTCTATCTAGGCGAGGCCTCAAGTTTCGAGTTACGCGTTGGAGGTGTGTTATACTTTATAGGTCGTTTGTACGTACCCGTAGATGATCAGTTACATAGTAAGATTCTCTATGAGACGCATTATAGTCCTCTTACCGTGCACCCAAGTAGTAATAAAACATATCAGAAGCTTTACCGATTATTATATTAGCCGAGTATGAAAAGGGAAGTGTCAGAGTTTGTCGTTAGATGTCTAGTGTGACAACAAGTTAAAGCATAACACAAGGTTCCTGTAGGCTTGCTTTAGCCCATCCATATTCCTCAGTAGAAATTAAATAGGGTAACCATTGACTTTGTGATCGGGTTACCAATGACCAAATATAGGTATGATGTAGTTTAGGTCATAGTAGATTGTCTGACCAAATCAGTTTACTTCCTTCTGTAAAAATGGACTATACCTTAGAGAGGTTAACTCAGTTGTACATCTGTGAGATAGTAAGGTTGCATGGTGCACCAACTTTCATCATCTCAGACAAGGACCTTCGATTTACCTCTCACTTCTGGAAAACCCTTCGTGAGTCTTTAGGCACCAAGCTACACTTCATAGCAGCTTTCCATCCTCAAACAAATGGCCATTCAGAGTGAATTATCCAGGTTCTTGACGACATGCTCATGCGCACTATCATTGATCTAGAGGGTAGTTGAGAGAACCACTTTCCATTAGTAGAGTTTGCCTAAAACAACAGTTTTCAGTCAAGCATTCATATGACTCCATATGAGGCCTTATATGGGTGCAAATGCAAGACTTCGCTATGTTAGAAAGAGCTTAGTGAGGGTAAGATAGTCATGCCAGACTTTATCAGAGAGATAGATGAGAAGATTCAACTGATCCATAGACAACTAAAGGAAGCTTCATACATACAAAGGTCTTACGTGGATTTGAAGCATAAGGACATCGAGTTTGCAGTTGGGGATAAGGTGTTCCTCAAAGTTTTCACTTGGAAGAAAGTGCTCCGTTTCGGGTGTAAAGGAAATCTGACTCCTCATTTTATAGGACCCTATGAGGTACTCAATAGAGTCAAATCAGTGGCTTACAGGTTAGCCTTACCACCATAGTTGGAACGTATTCACAATATGTTCCATGTTTTTATACTCAGGATATACCATTCAAATCCTTATCACGTTGTACCCCTAAAACAGATTGAGGTTAGCTTAGACATTACCTATACAGAGGAGCCAGTTAGAATCCTAGTGAGAGATATCAAGGAATTAAGGAACAATATGATACCTTTAGTGAAAGTGATATCGATGAATCATGGCATCGAATAAGTGACTTGGGAAACCGAGGGGGACATGCAACTTCAGTACCCTAACCTCTTCTACTCAGGTAAATTTTGAGGACGAAATTCTAAATTAAGAGATGAGACTTGTAATGTTGTAGATCTTGGGTTAGGAGTTCGGACTAAATCGAGGCAGACCTTGTTTTAATACTTTAGTTCATATGAGGTTTTGACCCTAAGTAAAAAGAGGTTTAGGGCTTGGGTTTAGCCCAATAAAGAATGACAAGGGGTGATTTCAGTTCACAACCAAAATTTGAGGGACCAAGGAAGCAATTTCCCATTGATCAAAATAAAGTTTGATCACCATTAAAAATTGGTGATCTCACGTCTGTTGCATGTCCCCTTCTCCTAATAGAACTTTTCTCTTATTCTTATCATATTCTTCCTTCATTTTCTTCCTCACCAAATCATAGAAAAGGTTTAAGATTTCTAAATTCCAATCCTTGTTTAACATTTTCAAGGTAAGATTCGAAATCTACCCACCATAAGCTTCATTTCGAGCTCCAAAAATTAAGGTTTGGCTATGGTGTTTGAATTTGTTTTTGTGGGATTGAGAAGGCTAAGGGTTTTAAAATGTTTCCAGAGATTTATAGGCTTTAGAAGTGTTCTTCAAACCTCTAAACCATTAAATTCTACTAGTAACTCAAGTTTTGATTTTTGTCTAGTGAGAGAGTTTAGAGAAAACTCTAAGGCTAAGGGGGAGGAGAAACTCACCATGGGTTGAACCTTGAACGTTACAGCAGTAAAGTTTAGCAAGGTAACTCACTTCTAACTCAGCTATACCATGTGTAGGTCAATTAGATGAAATGTGGTAGGTTATATAAGCTTGAAGCATTTCCATGGTAGATTCATGATTTGGGTGTTTCGACATGTTTTCAGACCTATTTAGGACCCCTAATGTCAAATAAAATACTTAAACGCCAATTGAGGACCTCACTAGGTGTTTGGGTAGAAAGATGGGACTTTTCAAGCCAAAACAGGGCTTTTTCGTAGCATGGGTATCGATAATGTATGAACAATATCGATATTATTCTTCAATCAAGCTTAAAAACAAGCAATTTTAAAAGGGGAATATCGATACTCGTTCATAAAGTATCAATACTATGGTCCCAGTCTCGATACAGATTGGATTAGTATCGAGACTCGTATTCCATAATACAAATTTAGTTTCGATACTCACATAGGGTACCGATACCAAAATAGGGATATCGATACTGTAAAAGGTGGTATCGATACTAGGATTATTTTTGAAACGTCGAACCTAAATTTGGTATTGATACTTAGTTCAGTATAGATACCCAAAGCCAGAGTATCGATACTACCTTAACTAAATAGCTTGTGTCAGTTAGCTTGTATCAATACCAACAAGTGGGTATTGATACCAAGGGACTCAGTATCGATACTAAGGACTCAATATTGGTTTTCACAAACATTTTTGGATGAACAAACTAAGACGTATTATATCAGACCCGAGGTACCCCAAATACTTCAGAATAACAAAAAACAAGACTTCAAGCGAGAACGATAATCAATATTCGAACAGTAGAAATAGTAAAAGCTAGCATCACATAAAACTAGCCTTGTTTGATGCTCGGGAAACAGTCAGGACACCCGAGTTCCTCATAGCAGAAATATGACAGTCAATGTCAAGGCACTTCAACAGCCGATTGGGGGCAGATGCCCCAAGACTCAACGAAGTAAGTTGGTGGGGTGTTCATTTCCGATACAGCTCCGGAGCTCACCCCGACTATCTAAGGGGCCGGTGTAAGTTTTCGATGCAGCTCCAGATCTCACTAAGACACCCAAAGGTATTCCGGTAGGCTAGAGGGGGTGTGTGAGCTCCGAAATGCAGCCCCTCAACTGCACCATAATGTCTACCTAACCATCTTTTTCTTTAAATGAATGCATATAGTATAGCATAGTATAGTTATTAGTGAGGTACTGAGCTTGTAAGCTCAGAGTTTGGAATATGTTTCCACGTGCAGGTTGTTAGGGGAAGTTCAAGGGGATTTATCATCCCAAACATTCCAATGCAGCAGACCAGACTATCAGAGGCCATCAGAATATGTCTTGAGTCATCTTTAGAGGGCATATATTGTTATGGACCCTTTTTATCTATTTAGTCGTAAATTTGGTTTGTACTTGGTACTGTATTATTTTGGATTTATTTTTGGGGCTCCCTACCGTTTTGTAAACTCATATTATTATCACGTTTTATTTTATTCTTATGTATGAATTATTTTTTGAAGTTACAAACAACTTTTAAAGAAATTTTTGGGTCACTATTTCGGTAGTTCCGTATAACATTGTAATCTATGGATCTTCAGGTCAAACTGGATTAGGGTGTTACAAAGTCATTGAACAAATTGTTAATGTCTGACCCTATGGTTGTACCACCATATCTTTCATTCACCTAAGGATCGCATTGAAATCTCCTCCAATAACCCAGTTTTCCGTCAGGGCTGGTTCCAAGCGAAGGAGCTGATTCTATAAAGCTTTCCGGACAGTAGCATTCGGGGAGCATAAACGACGGTGAAAGTCACCCATTCCTTCCTAAACTTTTCCTTGAGCTTGCCATGGACGATTTGGTTGGAAATTTCCTTGATGTCGACATCCAGGGAATCTCTCCATAATAACCAGATACCACTGCTGAAGCCCCGGGCTTCAACGTTAAAGGAATAAGGGAAGCCAACTGCTTAATTGCTTTATCGGCCACATTGCCACTCACTCTCGTTTCTAAGAGTACAATAATATCAGATTGATGAACTTTACAAAGCTCTTTAAAATGCCTTCGGAAGCTTAGGCTCTCCGCTCCATGGCAGTTCCAGAAAATGAGTCTGGTTATAATAAATACAATCAACATAAAAGAGGTCAAACTCAAAGGGATGGATTGGGTTCCCCAGGGTTCCCCATCTTTCATCTCCTTTTCCTTCGTTAACTCTTCTGGAATGTCCAATGGTTCGGTAGGATTAAACAATTTATTCGACTCCCCACTTGTTCCGATCTCCTTGCCACGGTCACTAGCGTGAGTGTTGTAATCTATTTTCACTGCCCCACCAAGTGTTGCTGCTATATGTCTGAACATAGCCTTGCAGTTTTAGCTGTATGTCAGCCCCGACAACGTAACCTACACTATCACATGCGAAGGATACTTTTTGCTGGTTGAAAACGACCAACTCCATGGTTGGATGTTATGTAACTTCCGTAAACTGTCAATGGCCCCTCCGATAGGACATGGACATAATCTTGCTCACTTTCGAACTTAACTATGTAATCATCGTTGTCAAGGTCCTCGAATTGGTAGTTACCTTGTGTTTGACATAATGTTTGCATCCTGTTGAAGAGCTCTTTGTATCCCACCGCGACCCAAGAATCGAACTATGATCGTTCTTCTCATACTATGCTCGATCTTTTCATGGACATTCTCCGAAGTTGATTGACGGGTATGGGCCATTAGGTCGACCTTATATTCGCCTTCTTCGGTAACAATCTCATCCATTGCCTGCAGGGATAGGAGGTTAGCTTCTTGATTTCTGGCGTTACCGACAACTCCCGCATAGGATATGTGTTCTCTTGGGTGTTGTTCAGTCTCCTCCATAATTCTTTCTACTTATTGTTCTTCGTCGCTTCTCATGTTCACGTCTGCATCCATGTCATTCCCAAGGGAGGGCCATTTGTCTGATCTTTTCTTGACTTTCTTGGTCGCTCTTTCTTCACATCGTAACAATGGTGAACCAGGCCTTTCAAGCAATTGATCTTGGGGTATTTGCACCACTATTCTTTCTTTCACGTTTGAGCCATCGTACGTTTTCTCATCGTGGGGAGCACTTTTTCATCGCTATGGGAGCTACCTTGATACATTGCTTTTTGAGGATGCTTTTGCTTTAAACGTATTTTGGAGTTTCGACTTTAAAATTACTTCGTACATTATTTTCATAATTTTTGGGTTAAATTATTAATTTATGTTTATATCAAACTCTATATAATATTAATAGATTTTACTTATAGTTAATTAGAAAATAAGGTAAAAGTTTCGATAAGATTAATTAGCAACGAGGCAAGCAATGAGTAGAGTAACAAATTATTTTAATGAGCGCGAATCGAGTGAATTTTTAAGAGAACTTTTTATGTATGATATCAAACTATCAAGAGTGTATTAATTAATTATACAAAAAATAAAGTTTGTTAAAATACACAACTAGAACTTTTGATTAGATATATAGAGTTATTCTTCTAAATTTTAATGATATTTTTTTCATTTTTCTATATGAAATTAATGTCATCATCTCACTACCAGAAAAAAGGTTTTTTGCGGCGTTTTTTCAGTCATATAATGACGTTTTTAAGCGGCGCTAAAAACCTTTGTAGCGTAAAAACAAACGCCACAAAAAGTGCCACTGAAACAAACACCGCAAAAGGTAGTGGTGTTTGTTGTTCACAAACGTTGCTAAATGTTATATTTTTAGCGACATTTTTTTACAAACCCCGCTAAATATAATGATATTAACGCCTTTATTTTTTTACAAATGCCACTAAAGTTTATGATATTTAGCGGCGTTTTTTCCAAACGTCGCTATTTATGTTTTTTTCGCGACGTTTTGACCCATAAATGCCTCTAAATATTCTGACATATAGTGGTGTTTATTTCCAAAAATACCGCTAAATATTATGTCATATAGTGGCGTTTGTGAATGTAAAACGTCGTTATTGACTATGTATATAGTGGTGTTTTCTGTATAAACACCGCAAAAGATCTAGTGGTGTTTTTTATACAAACGCCGTGAATTAAAACTAATTTTTCTAATGATGTTTTCTACTCTTTTGTTACCCAAATTTAACCTGTAGCATTACCAATAAACTTGCCATCCATAACAACAAACTTGAAATTCATGACAAGAAACTTTAAATCCATAATAATAAATCAAAGTTTACATTAACGTAAAATATAATGTAGTTTAATATTGTTAACTACAATAAATAATAATAACACCTAAAATTGTAGACTCTAAGTTTAATTTTGTCGTATCACGGGAATAACCATGTGAACCCCACATCTGGATGCTGGATGGATGAGGAGGTGGTCCCCACATGGGATAGGGTGGACCAACCGGGACAACATGATTCGAGTAATGTGGTGGAAAGGCCATGATTGGTTTATGTGGATAACAACTCCTCTGCATGTGATCTCTCTGCGGCCACCTTCGATCATCCTCCTTGGGCAAGATGTGTCTTCTATGCATTCTATATTTGTGCTTCACAAACAACAGGCGAATCATTTTCAGCAAGAGTAAAAAGTTTAATATCCTAAACAACTAACTGTGCTGAGAAAACAGAAAACTGCATAGGCACTCTAAAATGGTTTTCCAAAGAATTATCATACTGACATAAAGGTCAACAAATAGGATTCAGATATTTAATATCCTAAACAAATTAACTAAATCATATAGTACAAAAACCATAAACATTTATTTGTGTCATGAATTTTATCATGAGAAACAGTTTTCCTAGTCGAACAGTACTTTGTGTAATGAGAAAATTAAAGGTTATCAGTGGCAGACATCAAATCTAAGAAAAGTTAGAGCTCTTTTGGGAATAATGTAGTATAAATATGACATCATCTCTTAAAACTTCACCAATATGTAAACAGCAGGAGCCGAAGAGACAAATACATGCATGCACAGCCAGGATATAAATATTTAACAATCCACTAAAATACATTGAAGGCAAACTTAAAGTTGCTTGCCAGCATATAAACTGGTGTGAATGCAAGTATACCTCATTTGGAGCCTAATGACCTCAGCTAGAGTTTCATCAATGACACGGGTGTAGCTCTTACCAGCTGAGACCGTTTCAACGAGAGGGAGTTGAAAACAAGAACCTTTTCAAAAAGCAAGGGGGCGAACCATGTGAAGCACATGTGGTGCTACTGTAGGAACTGTGAATGAAACAGAAACACGTATGCCAAATGGTTTTGAAGAACCATTTCCAAAAGCATGCACCAAATCCAAACACTTCTCCACAGCAAGTTTGGAAACCAGAACTAGAAACTCTTGTATGGAGAGCGAAGTAGTACCTAGAGTTTTGCATATCTTTTTTCCTGGTAAGGTGGAAACTGAATGTGATACGAGTTCAAAAAGCAGTTCATCAGTAGGATCACACTGAAATGAAGCAACATGTTTCTGCCCAGACTCAGATAAGATAGTTTCTGCTTATTATTACAGAACACATCTGGTTGAGTTTTACTAAACATGACAAAGAGGGTTCCCTTTTTTTCATCCGGTAAGTTCTGAACTTCAACAATCTCCAAAAAGACCTGAAAAAAAAAGCATTAAACATAATGAGGAAGAGCCCATTAAAACCGGAAAGCAGCACCAGTAACCTTGGTCCAGGCTAAATAAAGGCAAAACAAGTTGAAAATAAGAAACATCTACAAGCAAAAGGACAACAATAGGAAATAAAATGAAACCGGCTAATGAAAAAGATCTTGTACTTAATGAAATGCTAGTGGAAAAAGTTTCCAGAAACTACCTCTACAAACCTCATCTCAGGAAGCTTAATAATTTTCAGAAACTCGTTTGCAGCATCTACTTCCTTAGGTAAAATGTCAGGCTAGCAAGGAATGGTTGTAATAGGAGATGGAAAATTCCCTCTATACATGGCCCCTGCCTTCCAGTATCTTGTGCCAAATGTATCCTCCTACTGTTTAGTTGTCCCTGAAAACCCAACATCAAGCTTCTTCCCTTTAGTTCGATCCGAGTCAGTATCATCATGCTCCAATATCTTGCCAAGTGTTCTGTTCAAATCTATGCAGTAAGAGACAGGATGCAACTGGTGGGTGTGCAAGATAAGGTCGATGTCATAAGTTGGAACGCAAAAGCGTGTAATGGACTTCTCTCGATTCCTCTTGATCAAATGAAAGAAACCCTTATATCTAGCTACAGCTTCTTGAAACAATATATCATTATTCATATGCTCTCTGGATACCTGGAGTAGAAGACGAGACCAGGTAGATTCAAGAAAAATTGGAAGATGGCAAATTTGAAAATCTATATCAGAAATTTGAGT